TGTGCCTGGCAGCCTCTGTCCTGGCACTCCACCTAGTGGGAAAGGACATATCTGCAAGACTGCTGTCTCAATTCCATTTGGGAAGTAGACAAGTCCTCTCTACTCTCAGACCAAAGTTTTTTTGTGGAATGAGGGAGCTCTCAGGAGGGAGAGGAATTTCATAAGAAGAGAATAATACAGATTTGGGGAAAATATTGGCATATATTTCATTAGGGACAATAGCAGAGGCATAAGTACATGTATAGAAATAAACTCTATACTAAGAGTAACACACACAGGCACTTACAGAGGACAGAACAGTCCAAGTTAAAGAAAAAAGAAAAGCAGACAAATGAACAGTGATCATTGGTGACCAAGAGGAGTGGATTGGCTCTTCATGAGGCTGTGGTGGCAGCATCAACCATTGCATGTGCACCAGGTGTCTGGCACTACACTAAGCACCTGACATTTACCAGCTCCCTTTGACTCCACAGAAGCCCTATTTTCTAGATGAGGAAACTGAGGCTCCAGGCAGTTAAGTCATGTTCCCCAAGGCCACAGATGCTAAGTACAAGAGTTGTGATTTGAACCAGGTATGACTTAGCCTGAAGGCCAGGCTCCTTCCTGAGCAAGGTAGTAGCATGAGGAAGATAATACCACAGATCATCTTGAGAAAAGACAGGACAGAGAGAACAGCTAAGAAGACATTACAGCAATCCAAATTTGATTTGAGGTGGTGGCTTAAGAAATGAAAAAGGAAGGAGTCCATTGAAGCAACTACTGTAGGGAAATCTTGGTGACATACCAGATGTTCAGGGCAAAGAGGAGAAAGGAAATGAAAGTGAAAGTCCTCAAAACTGTAGCAACTAGAAAGAAAAAGGGGGAAAGTGGTGGTTAAGGGAAGGCTCAAAAGAGAAGATTGGGGGTCAGCAAGGTAAAACTAGAGAAGTGATGATTTGGCTTCCAGAAACATCAAGTTCCCATGGTGATGTTTTTAGAAATGGGCCCAGAGCAACTGTGAGAGTTTTCCGCACTGCTGACAGCATCAGTAGTAGGATGCTGTCGCTGCTTCACAACTGTGATCAATGCAGACTGATTACTTTTGTTACAGTTGAAGATACACAATATTCCAGCAACTTCTAGAATATAGGATGTTGAGCTGAGCTTGTCATGAGACATGGAATGGAAGAGGAACCCACTTGCTATAAGACACTTATCACAATGGCCCTGAAGGGCTCCAAAAAAGGTAGTTCCTGGACTGTGGGGAAACTTGGCATCATGAGGGAGGGCCATCCAGGAGCAAGCAGTTCTAATCAAACCGAAAAGTGTGCAGTGGGATGACTACTGGCTGTTTTCTATGGAGGTGTGACTGAGTTTCAGTCATCAGTAAGTGTCATTTGAGTGTGCTGCCAAAAATCCTAATTTTTTAAAGTGTGACAAAAACAAGAATTTAAAATCTGATAAAGGTGAAAAGACCTCAGGAGGGCCCCTGTGGCAGTCAATGTGCATTTCCACCCTTCAGTGTCCAGTCAGCAGTCCGGGTCCAGCAGCTCTTCCATGTCTGAAAGGACAGAATCCGAGCTACCTCCCTTCTTTAAACAACTTCCTTAGATAGAATATACTTAACTCAAGCCTGAATATAGCTACCGATGAATCCAGCTGTTCCTAGCAATTGAAACACTTTGGAGCAAAGAAAAGACTAATCCACCAGAAAGTTCATGCAAGGAAGCTTGATATGTCCCTGAGTTACTAGGGAGGACCACAAGGCCCCACGGGAACTGACTTCTTCTCCCTCCCCATTATCTTTCACCTTCCCTCCCCTAAAGCTTCATCCCTCTGTCTCCCTATATATTTTCACATCCTTATAGGAATTGACTCCGTCCCCTTCTCCATCTCCACCCCTCCATCCCTTACACCTCTCTGCTCCAGCTTTATATGAAGGCACTTCTGCTCCCTCTCCATCCACATTCCTGCCACCTCCTTATGACTCTCTCTGGTCCATCTTACATCAAGTAACTTTGGCTCTCTCTCCTTCCCAATACCCAGCCTAACAGGAATGCCCCTTCCTGCTCTCCATCTCCCCACACCCATAGTTTCTCTACCCCACCTGCAGGTTACTAACCTCTATTCCCATTCCCCTCAACTACACCTTCATCTCTCTCTGGTCAAGCCCCATATGAAAGTACCTTTCCTCCCTCCTCCTACTCCTACTCCCAACTCCCATGGAGCTCTCTGGTTCATCCTCACATAAACAAATGTCTGTGCTCTCTGTGTCAAAATCCCACTCCCACTCCCCTACAGCTCTCTGGTCCAGGCCAACATGAACTGACCGCTGTACCCTTTCCCTCCCCATCAACTCCATCCTACAACAGCTCTCTGCTGGGGCTGAACATGAACTAACACCTGCTCGCTCCTCTTCCCCATCACCCCCAAAGCCCCTAAAGCTCTGGTTCATCTACACATGAACTAACCTTTGCCCTTTTTTTCTCCCCCTCCCCTCAATCACTCTTTTCTGACCACATGGATGACTTTAGTCCTCTACTTCTCAGTCCCAGTCACTCGCCAATATCTTGCCAATCCATCCCCAACTGAACTGAACTCGGCTACCTCCCCACCGCATCCCACCCTATACCCCCTACATCTCTCTGGCCAACCCACAAATGCTGACCCCTGTTCCCTCTCTCTCCCTGCCCAGCCCACCTACCCCCTTCAGCTCTGTAAACAATCCCCGTGAGCTGACCTACCCTGCCTTTCCCTCCCTACCCACCTTCACCCTTCCCCTAAATTTTGCCCAACCACTCCCCTTACATCTCCCTGGTCCAGCCCCACAGAAACTTCTTATATTATCTGTCCCCATCTCTCCGGCATCTCTTGGTCCAACCCCAAATGAGATGACCTCTGCTCCCCTCTCTCCCCATCACCCTCCACTCACTTTACAATTCTCCGCATCATCTGTACCTGCACTGACATCCCCAACCATTTCCTCCCCATCTCTCTCATCCCCTCTACCTACTTGGTCTAGTCCCACACAAACTGACCCCGGCCCTCTCTCCACCCACATCTTCCCACCCTCTTGCAACTTTCTTTTCTGCCTCCATGTGAACTGACCCCAACTCTCTGTCTGTCTCTATCTTCCTGAAATCCCTGCAACTCTCTGCTCCAGTCCCTCATCCACTGATTCTCTGTCCCTATCCCCTCCACTGAGCAACTGCCAACCTGTTCTAGAATGGCTGCTGGGCAGGAATATTGCCAGCACCTTATGCTAATTTTTTATCCTCGGGGATAAGATGTTACTTGCCACTCTCCCTTTCCTCAAGAGATACCTGACTTTATTTCACTTATGAAAACATTAACCAGGAGTTATGTTTCCAGGGTGACAGTCAACAGTAAAATGGGAAGTCGGGCCCAGTCTTTTCACTCCTTTCCAATACTATATGCCTTTTATTAGACAATAGCAAAATCCTCCCAAGAAAGGTTGTCAACTCAACTTTGGGGATGACGATCGTAAAAGCTTCATGGACCCAACTTTAACAACAAAGCTTAGGTGACAACCACACCAAAGGAATGATAGTGAGAATAAACATTTCTGAAATGACTCCTTCTTGGATACCATGAAGCCAGGTACTTTATGTATTTTCATTGAACCCCCAGCGATCCTAAGTTAAGCACAACTCTTGTCCCCATTGCACAGACAAGGAACCAGAGGCACCCAGAGAGGTAGCTTGCCCCAAATTACCCAACCAGAAAGTGGTGAAGCCTGTGTAGAACCAAGGTCAGAGGCTACTCTGGGCTCCCCCACAACATGCCCCAGTGTTTCTCAAGGAGCAGTCTATCTGCAGGGTCCCTCTGCAGGAGACTCATGGGGCGGGGGAGGGGGAGTCAAATCCTTCTCCCCATCTGGGACTTGCCCAGATGTCCAGGGACTGAGGCCCAGGGCCACGCCTCTTTAAAATGCTCCCCTCGCCCTGGCCGGTTTTGCTCAGCGGTTAGAGCGTCATGACGCCTGCGGTCTGGAGAGACCCGGGTTCGGTTCCCGCTAAGGGCGCGTACCTCGGTTGCAGTTTGTCCCCGGCCCTGGTCGGTCGTGTGGGTGGCAGCCACTCGATGTGTCCCTTTCATATCGATGTTTCTCTCTCTCTCTCTCTGTTCCTCTCTCTCCCTCCCACTCTACCTGAACAAAAAATGGAAAAATGTCCTCAGGTGAGGATAAAAAATAAATAAATAAAATAAAATGCTCCCCTCCTAAGGTTACTAGTTGAAATACAGGACACTCAGGTAAAGTGGAATTTCAGATCAGCAATGAATAAACAACAGCAAAGTCCAAATGGGACATACTTATACCAAAAATTTTTTATTGATTTGAAATCAATTGATTTCAAATTGACCTAGATGTTTCTTTTATTAGTTAAATCAGGCAACCCTATCTCAGGACTAAGCTGCCCTCAGCAGTTTGAAATCCATTCTCTCTCCACCCTGTGTGGGTAAAGGAGCATTATTACATCCTTATTCTTTTTCCATCCCCCCTGGCCCTTCATGCTCCCCACCCTCAGCCTGTAACAGAGACCTTAATGCCATCTACCAGGGATTGTCTTATAGGTCATCCTGTGTAGGACAGAAAAGAGCTGAACAAAGTTACCCAGCCCAACCCGATGCCAATACAGTAATAAATTGACCAGAGGTTGGCTGAACTAAACTTACTGTCATAATAACCTGATTTTCCCTGATTTGTCCAAGCACAAATTACCAAAAACTCTTTTTTGGCCTTATACTTTGTCAGAACTACTTTTAGGACATCATTTAGCCTTACATTAAGTGGATTCTTCTAGTTTTGTACATCGACAGGTTCTCAAGGCAAAACAACAACAACAAACAATTCCTGCCAATAGTAAAGGATTATTTCATTTTCTGCCCACAAGCTGGTAAGGAGTTTGGGATCTACCAGGTTGCTTTGAACACAATGGTTTAGATTTAAGATGAACTCACAGTCAAGGCTAAAGAACTCATCCTCACAGAACAAAAGCTCAAAATCAGAAAGGCTTTATTTTAAGACAAAACAAATAGCAAAAGCACATCCAAATGCAAGTGAATGAGTCCACTAGACTTTTTTTAAACAGAAAGCTGTACTTAGATGTCAATTAAAACCAGAACCATCAAAGAGATGCCCTTTGCTTGTGGTAACAGGTACAACATGTGCTTGTCTAAGAAGTGTTTCTGTGGTAGCATAAATGTGGGAATACATGACAAGAGTAAAGCGATACAAGGTAGAATGGCAAGTGAGTAAAAGCTTTAAGACCCTTTTCTCTACTCTAATGTGCTCTTGTTCTGCTTTGGGGAATTAAAGTAAGCAGCTGGTCACCTCGCAAAAAATAGATTTGAGGTTGTTACTAAAGTTATATAGGGAGGTCAGTGGGGAAAAACAGTTTGTGTTTCAAAAACAGGTTTCACACAATGGCAGGCACTAAATCTAGTTATATGTGCTTGCAGTAGAAAAGAAGAGAATAATCTTAATAAAGGCTAGTCTTTTTCATGATGCGCAGGAACTCTTGTTCATTGACTTCTCCGTCTCCATCTCGATCAGCTTCATCAATCATTTCCTGCATGACAGTAAGAATTCAGGTTAGATTAATTCATAATCAAACTAAAATGTGACTAAACAACAGGCTTTTATAATGCTACATGAACAGACAATTGTAGACCACTCAGTGCAAATGTGCTTTTTATAATTGCTTGGTTCCTAAAAACTTATCTGAAATCTAAGTTATACTTTGTCAAACATATCACCTAGAAGGGAGCTTGAAGGGGGATTCCTAAACCCTAATATTGTAAGTAAAACTGTTCATGTGTGCATTTTTCTTGGAGCAGGGTTCATAGGTTTGTCACACTATCAAAAGAGAAATTAAGTGGTCAGCAGAGGGACAAAAACTAGCCTTCCTTCAAAGCGGTGCTCACATCAGACAAAATGTAACTCAGAAAAGTCACCCAGGGCTCCAAGCAGGAATTATGGGTTCCAGACTGATGCATTACAAACCTGCAGCTCCTCATCAGTGAGGTTCTCGCCCAGCTCCTTGGCTACACGTTTTAGATTGTTGAAAGATATTGTCCCAGTTTCATCATCATCAAAGAGCTTGAAAGCTTTCAGGATTTCTTCTTTGGTATCTTTTTCAGACTTAACAAGTAGAACATAAAACACATGAGTAAGGAAACAGCAGTTACTCATGTCCTATAGCCCCATTCCTGCCTAACCTCTCTGCCCTGCCCCTACATCACTGCATGGTCTTGATGATAGCCTTCATGACATAGGTCCTAGAGATCAAACATCACCCAGGGTAGAAAAAGAGGACAAATTCAATGACATTATTACAAACTTAGAGGCTAAAAAGGAATTTGATAAAGTACTGCACTTAAAACATTCTTTCTGTACAAACCAAAGAGAAACTGGACTTGTTTTAATTTTTACTTTTTGCAATTTTTATTAATTTATTTTTGTTACAGATGTTTCTCCTTTTTCCCCCCTAGACACCCTCCTCTGGACTTGTTTTTAAAATATAGGAGAGAGGTGGAGTTAAAATTAGAGGAAATATGCTTCTTAAGCTGGTATTAGACCACAAAGAAAAATTTAGGTATGATTAGATGATTTCAAAGCAACAGAATTATTAGAATAGGAACAGGCCTAAGTCCTAGGAAATACATCTGTGACACTAATGGAGATACTTTTCCACAGACCAGTAGTGCATAGATGAGCCACACTAAGGAGGAGCTGGGGAATCAAAGAAAGAACAATGGCCCCATGGCAACGTACTTCCGGGGTGGGATGACACTCAGGGGAGTGAGGTGGGACAACATATTATCCTCTCTCTTGACCCTTTGGACCCATTAAAAGAGTGACACCTGAGGGACTAGAGAATGGGTGAATTAAACCTTGGAAGTGCTGAAAGACCAAATCCCCAGTGTAGTGAAAAGCACAGCCTGCTGAGCAAAGGACCCTCAGGCTAAGGCTGCCCAGAATAACAACTGGGGAGAGAAGAATTTCACACTTTAAAGTATAGGGATTTCATCTTATGAAAACGTGAGACACTGTAATATCGTTGGTGTTTATAGGTCTAACTGTTTGTGGCTATCACATCGATATACCAGTTAAAGAAAGATAATAGCAAAAAAGTGACAGCAGTAGTACCTTCACTACTTTACAGAGGGCAAAATGACTTTTCCTGTGACTTTGTGGCCTTAAAGAAAGCCAAGTGAAACTTAAGCATCCTAATTCTCAGTCACAAATACTATCGTTTATCAGCTGAACTCTCCTGTTTGTATTAACTTTTCTTCAATGAAAATATTTTCACATCTAGATTCAAATGTGTCTATTATGGGTAGAAAAGATGCTGATTATCTCAGCTAACTTACCATTTTCTGAGTCATCACAGTCAAAAAGTCATTGAAGTTCATTTTTCCTGTCCCTTCCTTGTCAATTTCACTTATCATTTTCTTAATCTCTTCTTTCTTGGGTTCGAAGCCCAGTGCCCTCATTGCCACCTACAATGAAAACAGGAACATCTCAATATGCACATCTGAATATAGCAAGAGCAAATGTGACAGTGTTGAGAGCATTAAGCCAACATCTGACACAGTCATGTTAAAATGATTGGGAAACACTATAACATCAAGCAAACTGATATTTGCATTCATTTTATTTAATAATATTTGGGTAAGTAACGATAGCAAAACAGCACAGTGCATTCTTCTCTTGTAACTTTTTTCAGGGAGAAGAGGACAAAGGGATAGAGTGGTGACAGGGAGAAGACAAAGAGGCAGAGGAAAAGCAAGGCATCAGAGCAGGAATGTTCAGGGCTTGCCTTAAGTTCCTTAACATCAATAGTCCCAGTTGCATCAGCATCGAAGAGATCAAAAGCTTGCCGGATTTCTTGTATCTGCTCTGCAGTAAGCTCTGGTTTAGGACTCATCCTTTTTCGCTGGGCAGTTGATGTCATGTTTGCCTTCTTAAAGTTTGAGGCCTTTAGATGTTTTACAAACACGTAAGCACAATATTATGTAATATAGTCTATATTTACATAAAATAAAGACAACCACACATGTTTTTAAAATGCTTTATAGTAACCAATCCCAAAGCTTTCCTTAACTAGAGAGATAATAGGATTTACTGGGAAGAGCAATGAGTCTTTCCATGAACCTCTATCCCTCCCTCTTTTTTACTATTATTTCTAGAAGCAAGGAAATTCCTTGTTCGTTTGGATATCCCGTACTGAAAATCATCACGAAAGAGAGCTAGCTAGCTAAGGACCAGATTGTGGATAACTTGTACAGATAATAAGCTCTCCCTGAATTGGGGGATCCTTATTCTAGAAACGTCCTTACAACCCCCACTCGGGGTACTCCGCTTCCTTCTAAGTACTCTCCCTGATTACTTCTAGATTTGGCCAAATATTAATGTTTAGATGTACATTCTGTCAAAACCGAATAAAACTCAATCCACTTGGCACATCTGTCTGTGCCTTCCCCAAGAAAGTCAAAGCGTCTCCGAATGGCCCTATATTTAAAATTTAAAATGCACGTTAACAAATATCATAAACCTCCCCGAAACGCTGCGGAAACTGGTACTGGGAGGCGGCCAGGAGACCAGGTTCTGAGAGGGGTCGGGCCTTTGGAGAACCTGAGTCTTCTCTGCCCTGGAACAGGTCACCAAGAGGGCCAGAGTAGGCTGGGGAAGCCCATGGGGAGGGTGGGGGTCGGCTGTGGGTTAAGGGGAGCCAGCGGCGAATCACAGGCCCAGCAGGGTGGCTGGCTTCTCTTCCTTGCCCTTCAGAGAAAGATACCACAGGAAGGAGGGGCGTGCTAAAGCCGAGAACGACGCAGTAACGACAGAGGGGCGGCAGAGGCCTGGGAAGGGCTCAACCTCTGGGCAAGGGGCGCGATAGGAGCACCGGCACTCACCATCGCCGACCGACTCCGCTCCTCGTTGTTACGGCAACCAATGTACACACAGACGGCGCCATTCCCGTCGCGCCGCGCGCGCCGCCTCGCTTCCCATTGGTGACCCGCCTTCTGCCGCCGCTCGTCATTGGTGCATGGCTGGAATGGGTGGGACTAATCCAACAAAGGCCGGGTCCAAGGTTAGGAGTGGCGCGCTCCTGGCGGAGTCCTGACATCATTGGGCAGGATCACGCCACGAACGTTGACTGGCTGAGCCGGCGCCAAGCCCAGCCAGGCCGGGTGTTAACAGGAGTTTCCGCTTATCATCTGCTCACGCGGGCCAACGGTGGCGAGCAGCGACCTGAGTTCAGTGGTTGCAGACTGCAGTTGTGCTGAAACTGGCAAAGGGGACGTCTGCGACAGGTAAGGATCGCGACCTCTCCCTTGGAGTCTGCCTTGTGTTGGCTACTGGGCCGGAAGGCCAGGGGCTGCGTGGGATGGCCCGGGCTGGGGCTTTCTAGTCTGGCCTAAGACTGAGTTAGGGTCACAGGGCCTCATATAGTTTGGAGAACCTTACGTGTTGGAGTGCAGACTATTCACGGGGAAACTGAGACCCAAAGAAGAGAAGTGACATGCCGAGCTTTGTCGCACAGGTTCGGACGGGACGGCTGGAATTTAGAAACCGAATCCAGCGGAAGCTTTATTTGAATGTGTTCCTTTGAGAGCATCCCCCCACCCACCCAGACCAGGTTCCAAGAGAGAATCACTTGAATTCTTCCCTGGCTAAAAGCAGCCCAGGAAGGTGGCTGGGGGTCTGGGAACAGACTTTGAAGGGAGTGAAGAAGACATGAGCGAGTATGAGAGGGAGAGGTCATCACAATACTGTACTCTTTTTGACACCCAAACACTCAAAGGCGGATAAGGAGTAGCATTCCAAGCCAAGACACTCTCATGAGTAAAGTCTGAGGAGTTTTGGAAGTGTGAGGAATGCTCGGAGAACTGTAAGGGGGTGTATGCAAGGGTTTGGGCTGAAACGGAGCTGCAGCAGCAGAGCTAGAAGTCCAGGTTCCACCCTCCTCAACCACCCCGTGTTCAGAGCTCTGCGTGGCTCTCAGCCCTTACCTGCTTCCCAGTATTTAGGGAGGCAGGGCACAGAGCATAAGTTTCTCAGTCTGAGAAAGGCCTGAGGTTTATTAGCATTCCTTAAATCGAAGTGTTCACTGACCTGCTGCCTGAGGTTTATTAGCATTCCTTAAATCGAAGTGTTCACTGACCTTCTGCCCTTTGCCCTCTTCCTCTTTCCTCATGAAACAGGTCCAGACCTTTCAGTCATATATGATACTTTTTTTCTGTCCCCTCTGCATTAACCAGCCTCTAAGTTCTATCATTTCTCCCCCTTAAGTGCCATTTTTAAAAATTTATTTTTATTGTTCAAAGTATTACAGATGTCCCTCCTTTTCCCCGCATTGATACCTTCCTCCCCCTCCTCCCTGCCTTCACCACACTGTTGTCTGTGTCCATTGGTTATGCATATATGCATATATACCCCCCTCTTCCCTCTGAGGTTTGTCAGTCTGTTCCCTACTTCCATGTCTCTGGAACGGTTTTGTTTGTCAGCTTATTTTGTTCATTAGACTCCACAAACAAGTGAGATCATGTGATACTTGTCTTTCTCTGACTGGCTTATTTCACTTAGCATAATACTCTCCAGGTCCCTCCATGCTGTCTCAAAGGGTAAGAGATCTTTCTTTTTTGAAGCTGCATAATATTCCAATGAGTAAATGTACCACAGCCTTTTTATCCACTCATCTACTGATGGACACTTGGGCTGTTTCCAGATCTTACCTAATGTAAATAACGCTGCTATGAACATAGGGGTTCATATATTCTTTCTGATTGGTGTTTCAGCCTTCTTGGATATATTCCAAGAAGTGGGATCACTGGGTCAAATGGCAGTTCTATTTTTAATTTTTTGAGGAAACACCATATTGTTTTCCATAGTGGCTGTACCAGTCTGCATTCCCACCAGCAGTGTACTAGGGGAACCTTTTCTCCACACCCTCGCCAGCACTTGTTTAAAGATTTGTTGATGGCAGCCATTCAGGCAAGTGTGAGGTGATACCTCATAGTTGTTTTCATTTTCATCTCTCTGATGATTAGTGACATTGAGCATTTTTTCATATGTCTCTTGGCCATTTGTATGTCCTGTTTGGAGAAGTGTCTGTTTAGGTCCTCTGCCCATTTTTTCATTGGCTTGTTTGTCTTCCTTTTGTTGAGTTGTATGGTACTTGATATATTTTGGAAATTAACCCCTTATCAAATGTATTATTGGCAAATTGTAATCAGAACAGCCTGGTACTGGCACAAGAACAAGCATATGAATCAGTGGAACAGAAAACCCAGAAATCAACCCAAGCCATTGCATTCAATTAATATTTGGAAAAGGAGGCAAGAGCATACAATGAAGTAAAGACAGTCTGTTTAATAAATGATGTTGGTAAAATTGGACAGATACATGCAAAAAATGAAGCTAGACCACAACAGCTCTGGCCAGCTCACCCTCATACTTTTAAACCTTCATTGGTTCCCATGAGTACAGAGTAAAGTCCAGACTCAGCCTGGAATCTAAGCCACCTGCGTAGTTTTGCCCCTGCTAGTCTTTCTTACTTTCCACACACTACTTCCCAGTCAGTCTGTAGGTGGCAGCCTGGCAGAGTAGAAGGAGCAACTATAAATTCTGCCTTGACTGTGTACCAGCTGTGTGACGTTGGGCAAGTCGCTTGACCTCTCTGAGCCTCAGTTTCTCATCTGTTGAATGAAACCACTACTGTCTATCTCCTTAACAGGATGCCTTTTGGATCTTATTGGTATAATATACTTATATGTAAAAGTGACATTTAGCAGGTTTTCCGGCAATATTAGTTCTTTTCTCTGATTTGCTCTGTCATTCCACCTACTTGGCATGCCTGGAGCCTTAGACTTGACTAAAATTCCCTTCTCCACACCACAGCCAGAGTTATCTTTATGATCTTAACAGTCACCCCTGCTTAACAGGTTCCAGGAGCTCCCCCATCTCCTCCTCAGGTAACTCCTTAGTTTGATAAACAGCCCTTGCATGCTTTCAGCTTTGCTCCCAATCTTTTTATTATTTTTTTTTATAATCCTCACCTGAGGATATATGCTTTTATTGATTTTTTTTTGATTTTTTTTTTACAGAGAGAGAAACAGCGATGTGAGAGAGAAACATCAATCGATTGTCTACCATACACGCCCCAACTGGTGATAGAACCCACATCCTAGTTATGTACCCCTGACTGGGAATCGAACTTGTAACCTTTTTAGTGTACGAAATGACCCTCAAACCAACTGAGCCACCTGGCCAGGGCTTTGCTCCCAATCTTGCTTCATACTCGCCATGACACAACTTGTCATAGTTGCCAGAGCATGCTAGCTGTGTCATCACCTCATCATTCTCACCCTGGGCCATGGAATGCCTTTTAGGACACCCAACCTGTCTGCTGGACTCACCTCTGGGGCCTTGAGAGTTTGGCTCAGGATTGCCTTCTGGGCCAGGATCCCTGCTCTGGGTTTACCCTCAGCAGAGCTCAAAGGAAGACACTTCTGCAGTGCTCTCTCAGGTCTGTCTCTCTCACTAGATGGGTTCCTTGTCTTATGCAGGTTCTGCATGGCAGTGGCTGGCATGTGGTGCCTTGTGAGTAAGGGAATGTAGGAACAGATGAGCTGACAGCTGGGCGCTCTTTTACAAGCTGCAGCTCCCTTTCACCCCTGGGGCTTGTTTGGGCCCCACAGCAGCTCCAAGGTCAGCAGGAGAGATTGTTACCCTACAGATGAGGTCTCTTAGACCAGCCACAGCAGTGCAGTTCAACCTGGACTTCATTCCAAGTTCTTTGCTGGCCTTTCAAGGGCTTATAACTTAGTGGGCCAAGACAGATTTGGGGGGGAAAGGTATAAACCAGTGTGCAAAGTGATAGAACGGGAGCAGACACAGGTACCAAGGAAGCAGGTAACCCTTCTTGGGGAAGAGGATGGGTTTCACAGAGGTGTCAGTTGAGCTAGGCCTTGCTAGATGAGGAGGAACTCACCATGGAGCAGAGAGGGAACAGCATACACTAAAGGTCACACGCGGGCTGATGATTTCTCAGTGGCCAGCACAAATTCAAAGCCAGGGCCTTTCTGTGTCCTAAAAGTAAATATATAATCAGAGAGATGAATGACTGACAGAAACATACAGATACCTCAAGTCTGTGGAAGGACAAGGAGGGAACACTCATCTTTCTCTATCTGGTTTGAAATAGACAGGCTATCCCTTTTCTCTCTAGGACTCAGTAGTGTGGAACTTACCCCAGCAGAAAGGAGAAAATCGGGTTCATTCGCTCCTCTCTTCATTGAATCCTGTCAGCAACCCTCCTCCTCTTGCCCAGAAGTTGAATGAAGCACTTGGATTTCACCAATAGAAGGTGGCTCTCTTTTTCTAGATTCTTTTCAGCCTAAGACTTTGTTCCAGTGTGTATAAGAAGACATACATACTAGTTTTTATTTTTTTTTATTTTTTAAATTTATTTATTTATTTATTTTTGTTACAGATATTCCTCCTCCCCCCCCCCCGATACCCCCTCCCCCATACTGGTTTTTAATGGATTCGGAGACCTACCACTTTAAAGGAGAAAGACTTTGGGCTTCTGATTTGTGAACCTTAACAATCACAGACCCTAGAATGTTGTTCTTGGGGTTCTTATTTTCCCATTCAGAGCTGTTCTTCTGAGTTAATGTGTGGTAAAAATAGAACTCAGGATTTACCATTTTAACCATCTTCAATTTTACAGTTCAGTGGCATTAAGTAGATTCACATTGTGCAACCATCCCCACCATTCATCTCCCAGAACTCTTCTCATTTGTAGAACTGAAACTCTATACCTACTAAGTGGTCACTCCCTAATTCTCTCCTCTCCCAGCCCCAGGCACCCACCGTTCTGCTTTCTGTGACTATGAATTTGACTCCTCTGGGGACCTTATAGAAGTAGAATCATATAGTATTTGTCCTTTTGTGTCTGGCTTGCTCATTTAGCATAATGTCCCCAAGGTTCTATTTCACTTAACATAACAACCTCAAGGTTCATCCATGTTGTAGCATGTGTGAGAATTTCTCCTTTTTTGAATTTTTGTTTTATTGTGGAAAGAACACAACATGAGATCAATCCCCTTAACAAATATATAAGTGTATAATACACTATTGTAGGCTACAGGTACCATGCTGAGCAGCAGATCTCTAGAGCTTATTCATCTTGCTTAACTGAAACTTTCTGCCCATTGATTAGCAACTACCCATTTCTTCCTCCCCCAGCCCCTGCTAAGCAGCATTCCACTCTTTGGCTCTATGAGTTTGACCGTTTTAGATACTCATATAAGTAAAATAGTCCAGTACTCATCTTTCTGTGACTGGCTTATTTCACTTAGCATGATGTCCTCAAAGTTCACCCATGCTGTCACATATTGTAGAATTATGTTCTTTCTAAGGCTGAACAGTATGCCATTGTACATGTATACCACATTTTCTTCATCCATTTATCTATCGATGATATTTAGATTGTTTCCATCTTGGCTATTGTGAATAATGCTGCAATAAGCTTAGGAGTGTTTATGTGTCTTTGAGATCCTGGTTTCAATCCTTTTGGTATATGCATAGAGGTGGAATTGCTGGATAATAGGAAATTCCATTTTTAATTTCTCAAAGAACCTCCATACTGTTTCCCATAGCAGCTGCACCATTTTACATTCCCACCAGTAGTGCACAAGGGTTCCAATTTTTTCACATTCTCATCAACGCGTTATTTTCTGTGGGTTTTTTATTTGGGGGGGGGGTAATAATAGCCCTGCCAGCGGGTGTGAGGTAGTATCTCATTGTGGTTTTGATTGGCATTTCTCTAATGATTAGTGACACTGAGCATCTTTTCATGTGCTCATTGGCCATCTGTAAAATCTATCTTTTTTGGAGAAATGTTTATTCAATCAGAGTTATTCTTGGTGTTCATTTTAACCTGAGTGTATTATCAAACGGGGGATTTAGGTTGGGTAGGTTGCCAGTGGGATCTGACTAATTCTCCAGGATAGTCTTTAGTACCCCAGCCCCTAGAGACAACTAAAGTGTCACCAGAATTCTTACCTGGCTCATAGTATTTACAAACCTTAAAATAATTTTGCCATTTTGGCTCAGCGGTTAGAGCATCAGCCCACAGACCAAAGAATTGCAGGTTTGATTCCAGTCAAGAGCACGTACCTCAGTTGCATTTTGGTCTCCGGCCCTGGTTGGGGTCGTACAGAAGGCAACCAATTGATGTGTTTCTCTCACATCAATCTCTCTCTCTCTCTCTCTCTCTCTCTTTTTCTCTCTCTCTCTATCTCTATCTATCTCTATCTCTCCCTCCCCTTCCCTCTCTCTCTCCCTCTCCCTCCCTCCCTCCCTCCCTCTACCTGAAGATAAATGGAAAAATATCCTCAGGTGAAGATTTTAAAAAGAATAATAATAATTTATATATAATTTGATACAACATAGATTTGATTTTGTTTTTGTTTTCACAAGAGGCTGGGCAGGATGGGTTTATTCTTTCCCCTCCCAGATCCTCCCCTAGAGATGGAGGGAAGACAGAGTTTAAGGCTTCTTGCTTTTCTAGTAGGGCAGGTGGGCTATGCAATTGGCAACTGCTATTTGAATTTTGGGACTGTAAAGAATACTTGTGTGGATTTCTGGGGTTGCTGCAACAAATGAGCATGCACTGGGAGACTCAAAACAACAGACATTTCTTCTCTCCTAGTGCTAGAGGCCTGCAATCAAGAAGTGAGCAGGGCTCCCTCCGAAGGCTCTAGGGGAGGGTTCTTTCTGCTCTTCCAGCTTCTGGTGGCCCCAAGCTTTCCTTGGTTTTGACTGCATCACTGCAAATGCCATGTCATGTCATTTCCTTGTGCTTCCCCAAGTATCTGGGGAAATTGAGTAAGAAGCCAGCAGTGGGTATATGTGAGTATAGCACCAACAGAAAAATGACAAACCTATTCATTCCCATGAAGATTTTTTTTTCTTTATTTATTTTACAGAGAGAGGGAGAGAGATAGAAACATCAGTGAGAGAGAGCATCGATTTGCTGCCTCCTACGTGCTCCCCATTGGGGATTTGGCCCACAACCTGGGCATATGCCCTGACTGGGAAATGAACCGGCCACCTCTTAGTGCGTGGGTCGACGCTCAACCACTGAACCACACCTGCCGGACGCTCCCGTGAAGATCTTGCATCTTAGTTGAGTGCTTGTGTGTATGTGATGGAAAGCAGAAGGGGGGTCTGCAAGGGCTTGTACACACTCTGTGTACTCATGGATCCAGTGGATATGTGAGTGCCCACTTTGTGCCAGGCACTGCACTTCATGCTGAGATACCGTGGTGAGAAATATAGAACTCCTAGTACATGCTGCTAGGCCTTGGTGCAGGTGCCCAAATGCCTGTTCCCTAGCTGATGCACGTTGAGCCAAATGAGCCAGAGCTCACCAGCCACATCTGTTTAGGGTAGACAGATGACAGGGCCCCCTGCCAACATAAAAAAGATTATGGGATAAAGAGAGGGATGGGATAGACATAGAACTACAGATCAAATTGCACGTACTGAAAAGGACGTTTTGTAATATATTTTCCTCATAACTTTTATATATTTTCCTCATAGTTTTCCCCAAACTGGCTCCATTAGACATTGAAGATCCTAGCATCTGTTTCAAGGCCATTTTAGCCACCCACAAAATCAGTTCTTACAGGGACACGTGACCATAACCATGTGTGTGTGTGTGTGTGTGTAACTCGAGGTGTGGAATTGGATGAGAGCTATCATGGTATTTGAGACTCCAGTGCTGCCTGCCTGCCTGCCACCGCCTCACCAGAGTGTTCTCTGAATCTAGCCTCTGTGGGCAGTTAGACTATTTTCCTTGTCATGGAGTTCGCTGTCTACAGATGTTTGAGGATCCATGATAAATTTTTCTGTTTAGTATCATTGGGGGACTTTATCACCTGGTGTGCTTCACTGTGTCTCCTGAGATTTCTGATGACCCCAGACACTCAGTTCTTCCACACATAGTCGGAGTGGCTTTAATTTCATCAAAAAGGAAAGGTCTGCCCTGGCCAGTTTTGCTCAGCGGTTAGAGCATTGGCCTACAGACCAGAGAGTCCTGGGTTCGGTTCCCGCTAGGGGCATGTACCAAAAAAAAAAAAAAAAAAAAAAGGAAAGGTCCATCTCCTGTTGCACTCTAACCCCTCTCCGCAGCCCAGACCCTGGCATCTCAGCAACAAGCTCCTTAGTCCATTTTATTGACAGGGAAACTGAGCTGCAGCAAAAAGACATGACTTGAGCAGATTTCCAGTTTGTGATCAGGCCAGGACTGGACCCCACAGCTCCCTAGGTCAGTGCATTTTCCCGCTGTGTTGCCACAGTCTGATGATCAACGCAAGAGAAAATGAAAGTTACTGAAGCACGTGAGTACCGTAGGAAAAGCTACAATGCCAAAGATGTTCTTTTTGTTGTAACTGATGAATGAGGTTGTTTAAACTGGCCTCTCATTCTGCCTCAAGTCCAAGTATGTATGGAGTTATGGGCCCAGTCAGTTATGGCCTTCTCTAAGAGAGCAGCCTGCATCACAGGAGTGGTAGCTAGGGCTCCAGCCAATAGCTACACCTAAAGTTCAGCTCTTTGTGAAAACAACGGGGATGGCATCCACACAAAATACTAACAGCTAAAACATGTTTTGATTTAAACAAAATTAACGTCTGTCTCTAAATCTGTCTTTAAGAAAAGAAGGGTTGATTGCAAACAGGACCATATTCGGAGCTGAAATGGAGCAAACAGTTGGTGAGCCAATGAGAGACCAAGTCACAGGCACACGTTTGACGGAAGACATTCCAAAAGTGAGTACTGACACAAAAAAGATTAGCCAAAATCAGATAAGGGGAAAACCGAGCACATGCATAACCAGCAAGCCGTTGATAGTTAGCTGTCAGTTAAACAATGTATTTGGTACATTTATGAAATCAATTAATATTGAATATTGTTTTTCTGTATAAGATGTATATCTTTATTTAAGGTATCAGTTACTGCTATGTAACAATGTCAGGATGTAGTGGTTTAAAACAACACTCATTTCTTTGTTCACAATTCTGTGGTTTGGGCTGGGCCCAGCTTGGGGGGGGAGGTCAGTGGCTGTTCTCCCCTGGGCTCACTCCCAAAGTTACAGTCATGGGGACCTGCTGAGGTGTATGTTCCAGGTGGCCTCACATGCCTGGCAGTAACTGCTGGCTGTCAACTGGGTGCCTTAGTTTGCCTTCATGTGGCCCCAGAAGGCTAGACTGACCTGGGTGGAATAGCAGAAGCCTTGCCCAGGGGCGACAATGGCAATAACAAGGCCTCCTGGAGAATTTTCGATTCACTTTGAATGAATGCTAATGCTTCAGAAATTTATTCATGCCAAGCTAAAATGTGTTTATATCAAATGTTAATGGAGGACAACTCCCCAGGAGGATCCCGTGGGCCACCACATCACCCTGGTTTGGTGTAGAAGTCAGGGTAGAGCCTCCTCTATGCCCCTATAGTTGAAGGTTAATCTGAGATTTTAGTGTTCAGGCAAACCCGCAGAACCATGTGCTAGCTGGAGTTCCTTATTTGTATAAATTTGGATTTTACTGTTTCTCAGCAACCAAAAAGAAAAAAACCTAGATTCCAATGGTTGTATCAGAGGTGGTTCTTTCTCATTGATTGACTCTATAGTAAGTAAAAGTTATACTTTCAAACTACTAAAATCAAAAGAATAATTTCATCTTGCCTTATTTATACATTCTGTGTAAGACGTCTCTTGATAAAGAGGAAAACAAAAGGTTGAAAGAAACCCAGTGGCCTAGACATTCTCTTTATCTTAGGATCATAGTGCAATTAAAATGGGTTGTCTAGATGGTTTTCTTTCTTAAAACTCCCTCTGGAGCAAAAGTTTTGTTTTGACATACAAATTGGAAATCCTTAAATCACTTCTGTGATCCAGACTATAACTTTAGGATAGGAATAGTTTTTGAAATGTAAAAGAACTTTACACTAAAATAGTTGGGAGCAATAGATAGATAGATTATAGATATATAGATGGATAGATAGAAAAAGTAAAAATTGGTCACTTTTTTAGATTTTTTCCATTACAATTGACATATAATATTCTATTAGTTTGGGGTATACAGCATGGTTATTGGACATTTATATGACTTGTGGGGTGATTACCCCGATAAGTGCCCATCTGGCACTATGCATAGTTATTACAATGTTGTTGACATTTCCTATGGTCTACCCAGCATTATCTGTAATAACCAAGATTTGAAAGCAAACTGAGTGTCTAATGGGGTACATATATAAAAGTGGTCACTTCTTGGTTTGCCTTACTACATTTAGTCTTTCTTTTTGTAAATGTAAAAGATGTATACCTAGATTTGCTTAGGTTTTCAAGAATGTTTGAAAATATATATCACAGTGAATCAGGAAAAAAAACTCCACTCAGTAACCCATTCTTGAGTTTCATTACCTGTTTCCAGTCTAGATTTTTTTTTTTTTTTGATATTTTGTTCAGATAGAGCGGGAGGGAGAGAGAGAGAGAGAGAGAAACATCGACGTGAAAGGGACACCTCGAGTGGTTGCCACCCTCATGACCCAACCAGGGCCGGGGACAAACTGCAACCAAGGTACGTGCCCTTAGCGGGAACCGAACCCGGGTCTCTCTGGACCGCAGGCCGACGCTCTAACCGCTGAGCAAAACCGGCCAGGGCCAGTCTAGAGTTTTATTCTTACTTCTAATATATTTTCCTTGTCTGTTGTGCCCACTTCCCCTGCATCGTCTTTCCTGGCTATGAAAAGTGGTTCTTTCACATGATTTCTAACCACGTAGCATCATAGGTGTGATTAAAGACATTGGCCCCGATTTAGGTCCAGGCAGACTTTGCGGAAACCAAGAAAAATCAGTTTGGGAAGCAGGGAGGCTCAGTTATTTGGGGAAAAAAAATGAACTTGCCTATACAACTAACTTGGGAGGAGAGGATAAGAAGGGATTGTCAAAAACAGGACTGATTCAGATTTGTATGTTTCGTTTGCCTACATCCTAGGGATACCTTAGAAATTTTAGTCAAGTTGCAAATTATTGAGCATGATATGATTACATGTATATGGGAGTAATCAAAACAGTGTAGACAAGAATGGGTTGAAAAGATCTTTTGGTGGGAGTGGCATAGTGAGGCCTGGACAAAGGATGCTAAAGCTCCAGCGCCATCTGCAGGTACCTGGTGGATGCCAGTAAAGATGCAATTCTAGGTGGGACACCAGGGTGACAGGAGTGGATCTATAGAAGAGGCCCTGGCACCCCTCGAGTCTCCTGCATATCTCAATTGTATAGGTATGTAAGGAATAAGTACGGGAGTGAGTTTGTTTTTAATCAGGAATGGAATTTCATTAAGGTACTTAGTTTTTAGACCCCAACTTTTATTTACTATACATGAGCTTAGGAAAAATGGGGCTTTGTCATCTTAAGGAAGTCCAGATACAGTTTTAGAAAGACCCAAGGGAGGAGGGATATCACAGGTCCTCCTTTGGGGACACTTGTAGCCAGCGTAATCAGCATGCAACCGCCACAATTGTGCTTTGACTCCCTGGAGTGAGAATATTCAAGTGCTTGCATGTGGTGCTCTGTCCTTCCATCATTTATCAGAGTTGGAATTTAGCCAGGGAAGTGCACATGTTGCAGAAGCTGATATGTAAAGACTAGAGCTCTCCTAGATTCATTGACCTCAGAGCTCAGAGAATGGGAAGCAAAGCCCTGGGCCTGGCTAACATTCTCACTGAAGCCCCTCCAGCAGGTGCCATCAGACTGTAACAGTCTTGGACATACTAAGGCAAAACGGGGACAGACAATGAGCCCAACACCACCCAGCTCAGCCCCTTAGGGTCAGGGAGAAAAAGGGCCTGACTCTCCTATAAGTATGGAGACTGAGCTGTCCTCTTTCTGATGTTTTAAGTACACACTGTAGTTGAGTGGGAGTGTGTTTTATTTTTGTTATTTGGTTTTTTTTCATTTAATTAATTTATTAATTTATTTTGCCTTTTAAGTGCCTAGGGATCAGCGATCAGAAGCAAGAAGATACCACTTTTGGTTTTTTTTTTAGATTGTCCAGTTTTCATCATAAGTGGTTTAAGTTCTTTCAGAGATGCCTCTTTTTCCTTTCACTGAACACACAGCAGATTTTGGGTCATCCAGTACAGCCAAAGTCTTTTTTTGCAGTCTCATTTGCTCTCTCTCTTCCCTTCTTACTGATCCCAGGAGAGGAGGTTGCCACTGGGGATAGAATACCAGAATTATATAAGCTCTAGCTTGGCTCAGTGAGTGTTTCAAACAAACAAAGAGGTGGACCTGCCATCACAGTGGCTCATGACATGTGAGTTCAGGCTCTTTATAGGTTCCAGTTCTCACCACACCAGTGCCCCTGCCATCCCTCTCTCTCCACAGGCCAAGAAGTGCACGGTGATCGGAGGCTCTGGGTTCCTGGGGCAGCACATGGTGGAGCAGTTGCTGGCAAGAGGCTACACTGTCAATGTGTTTGATATGCGGCAGGGTTTCGACAGCCCCCGGGTGCAGTTCTTTCTGGGCGACCTCTGCAGCCAACAGGTACTGGGCCACCCAACCTTACTGATTTCCCATGGGCCCCCAAATGGAAACCAGTGGACTTCTCCTGCCCAGAGGCCAGCGACACTGTTGATTCAAAAAAATTTTTATTTTGAAAAATAATAAAGTTATACGAGATAATTTGACACAAAACCACATTCTTACTATTCAGAATGAATAATTGTCATTTCTGTCACTACTACTTCACTCTGCCATAGTAGTGCAAAAGCAGCCTGGTCAATACATAAATGAATGGGCATGGCTGTGTGGCAGTTAAACTTTATTTACAAACAACGTTCATTGTCCATGGGCTATAGTGTACCAGCTGCTATTCCAGAGTATGTACCCAGAAGTACAATTGCCGGTTTCTTTTCATTTTTTATTGAGATATAATTCACATTCCGTAAATTTTACATTTTTAAAGTGCACAGTTCAGTGGTTGTTAGTATATTTAAAAAGTTGGGCAGCCATCCCCACTATCTAATTCCAGAACATTTTCATCACCCCAAAAGAAAACTCCAGGCCCAGTAGCAGTTTCTTCCCATTTCCTCTCCTACTCTCCCAGCCACTCATCTCCTGTCCCTGTGGTTATACCTGTTCTGGACATTTCATACAAGCGTAATCATACAGTGTTTGTCCTTTTATTGACTAGCTTCTTTCACTGAACATGTTTTCAAGCTTTACCCATGTCACAAGAGTATTAATATTTTGAATTTTATTAGATGTTGCCAAATTGCTTGACAAAACTGCTATGTCAGTTTTTTTCCCCACCAGCAGTGTGGTCGTATCCCCATTGCTCCACATCCTTGCTAACACCTGGTATAGACTTTTTGATGTTGCTGTTCAGCATGCTTAGAGTCACGTGTCCTTCCTGTTTGAGAGTGAGAATGAGATCATTGCTGAAATCAATTGGTAGAAGGTTGTTGGGAAGGAAGATAGTCGCACAGTCTCACATGATCACCCCACTGATTACTTTTTAATTACAGAAAGGGAAAGATACCTTTTTTTCCCTTTTGATGACCAGAATCTGGCAGTCATCACCTTAACCAAGTGATCAAAGTCAACATGCCAAAAGTAATAGACCTGAATCTGATCATGAGGAAGCAGATTAATCCAAATTGAGGGACACTCTAAAATAACTACTTGAAAAGTGGCAGTGTTCCAAAGACAAAAAAAAGATAGGAAGATTGTTCCAGATTCAAAGAGATAGAAGAGGTACAAAGGCTAAATACAATGTGTGATCAATCCATGATTGGATCCTAGATCCTAATATGAAAATGGCTATAAAGGACATTATTGGGACCATTGAGGAAATTTAGATATAGACGAATTATTGGATAAGAGTGTCTTGTCTGTTATATTTTTGCATATGATCATTGTTTTGTGGTTATTTAGGAGGATGGCTTTGTTCTTAGGAGATGCTGGGTAGAGTTTAGAGGCAAAGTGCCATGATGTCTGCAACTTACTCTCTAATAGTTTCAGGAAAAAATCATGAGTGTGTGTATCTACATAGAGGGAATTGCGACATAATATTAATAAATCAGTGAATCTAGGCACTTAACTCATGGGTGTCTTTCTTTTCGTGATGGTAGCATCTATTAATGGTCATTCCTAGATCTTAATACTTAATTAAGGCTTTGCCAGATGGTGGCATGCTATCATTCTGTCTTTGTTTCTTACCTCAAATCTTTGTACCTTATGCAGATTAAATGCTTGACTCTTCCCCTTTATTTACTAGTTTGCAGAAGGAATTCGTATTCTTACTGGTGATCAAATTGTCTCTTTGGCCAGTGGGAGCCTCTGTAAGTTGGCTCTTAAGTCCTTTTAGCAGGACCCCAGGAGTCTTGGCTAGCTTTCTTGCTTTCTGGTATGACAAGATGTTCCTGGCTCATCTCGTCTATTTCCTGCCCCAGATCTGCAGTCAGCCATTGCTTTAGGGAGCTCTGGTTCCTCTTAGCAGCCCATTAAACATCTGTTTTCAGGCCCTTTAAGGTTGCTGTTTTATGTGTAGTTTCACAGAAAAGAATATCCTGTATATTGGCCATTTACACTGTCTTTCATGGTGTGGGACTTTTTCTTAGAATTCATAATTTTTGTCTATAAGCTCATCTTCCCCAGGAGTGTTACCCCCAGGTGTCCTGAATCATGCCCCACCCCATGGGGCATAGTGGCACAGATGTTGCCTCTGGTTGGATCTCACAGGCTTCTGATGCCCCAAACTGGTTTTTATTAGGAACTAGTTAATGGGAAGGGACAACACTGTTTTGTTTTGTTTTGTTTTTTTTAATTTAATTTAATTTAATTTTTTCTATCATTATTTATCCCCTCTGTGCCTTCTTCCCCATCCCCCTGGACAACATTGTTTCTTTCCCATATGCTTCTGTATTGTTTGAATCTTTTACAATGAGAATGTATGTCTTTGTTAACTGTAGAATTATAAAAGGGCAAGACACCGATGCGCCACAGAATGGAGAGTGGGAATGTGAGGAGGCTGTTTACTTGTGCAAGGCAAGGGTGATTTGTGTTGTCTTTGTTTTCTTTTCCAGGACCTGTACCCAGCTCTGAAAGGTGTAAGCACAGTTTTCCACTGTGCTTCACCCCCACCATCCAGTAACAACAAGGAACTCTTTTATAGAGTGAATTACATTGGCACCAAGAACGTCATTGAAACTTGCAAAGAGGCTGGGGTTCAGGTAAGGGGAAGGCTGGAGTGAGTGCTATCATACATTTCTAAACGTGTGGGGGCCAGGGTTCTTGCTCTCCTCCTGGGCCTAGCAAGGCTTGCTTCCAAAAGTGTTGGGAAGATCCTAGAAACGAAGCCCTGGAGCAACTGGGCCAATTTGAGCTGTAATATTCTAACTGCATCGGAATAGACCATCTGAGGACCCTAGGGCTTATTAGTCTTTGGTTAAAGAGCTACAAAATGTAACTATTATTTATATTTTTATTGTGATTTTGTGTGTGTGTGTGTGTGTGTGTATAAAACATAAAAGTTACCATTTTAACCATTTTTAAGTGTACGGTTCAGCAGCATTAAGTACATTCACATTGTTGTGCAACCACCCCCACTATCCATCTCCTGAATTTTTTCATCTTCCCAAACTGAAACCTGTCTCCATTAAACAGCAACTCCTGATTTCCCCTCTCCCAACCCCTGGCACCAACTCTTCCACTCTGTCTCTAAATTTGACCACCCTAATAACCTCATTCAAGTGGAATCATATACTATTTGTCCTTTTTGTGTCTGGCTTATTTAGCTCATTGTCTTCAAGATTCATCTATTTTGTAGCATGTGTCAGAATTTCCTTCTTTTTTTAAGGCTGAATAGCATCCCATTGTATACAAGACCACATTTTGTTCCTCCATTCACCTGTCAATTGGCACTTGGGTAGTTTCTACCTTTTGACTATTGTGAATCATGCTGCTCTGAACATAGGTATATAAATATCTGCTCCTGTTTCTGTTATCGATTCTTTTGGGTAAATACTCAGAAGTGGAATTCCTAGATCATACAGAAATTCTGTGTTCAACCTTTTAAGGAACTATCATACTATTTGCCAGTCCTTGCTTTTATTTTCAAAGAAAAACTATTTACTTTTACCTAGTAGAAAGCTGTTAAAACACAGACCCAAGGGGATATGAATTTCTGCCACATCATAGCTTGTTGCATTGTTGTAAATCCTGGTTCTCAGGGTCACCTTTCCAGAGTACCAGCCACTGGACAAAACAGCTCCCTGTCAAACAAGCGCCCCACCCTCACAGTGACATATGCCATAGATGTTTTTTTAGAGAAAAAAGACAAATGAGTCAGGGGGGTTCTCTCCCAATAGTCCCAGTGCTGTCTGCCAGCCCTTGGCACCATCAGCTGGCCCAGCAAAAATAGGAGCTCTTCTGAGCTCTGTGCCCTGGAAAGGCTCAGTTATAGTAAGAGTGACTTCTTACACTTGGCAAATGACAAGAAACTTAGCCCTGTAATTGTTACCTGATTTGCTCCTTGTTAGGTAACCAGGGGCTACTGATGTCACTTAACAGCTGAGGAAGCAGATTTAGAGGACTAAGTGCTGTCTCTGCTAGTAAATGAAAAAAGTGGGATTCGAATCAGACCCTTCAGTGCCAAAGCCCAGACTCTTCACTCGCCCTTGCTTGTATACCAGTGCTGTGAAACATACTGCTGCTGGTTTTAAATGGGGTATCTCAGGCACCCAGAAGAGATTCGAGAATAATACAGCAGCTATGCACTCATAACAGCATTTGAGAAACACTATTACTGATAGAGTTGAAGCTCTGTGTTTACCCATACTTGATGCCGTTGCCGTTCTTCCCCACTCATGGGGAACCACTGTTGTGAATTGGGTTTATCGTTTGTTTTCTCCATTTGCAGCCAGTGTAAGGTATTGATTTACATGTTATAGAACTTTATAAAGCAATATATTAAATAGATATTCCTGTATTTCTTTTTTAATCATTTTTTTATTTTCAATTACAGTGAACATACATCATTATATTCATTTTATATGTACACCCCAGTGACCAGACTTTACGTAACTTACTAAGTGACCACCCCAATAAATCCCATACCTATCCAGCACTGTGTCTAGTTATTAGAATATTACTGACTATATTCTCTATGCTATACCTTTTAAGTGTTACTTCCCACATTTAAATCCTTAATCTACCAACAATTTATGTTTATATACAGTCTGAGGCAGGGACCACATGTTTTGTTGTTCAGCACCGTTTCTTATGTGATTTCTCCTTTCCCCACTTTCAGCACCCCATCCAGCATACCTCACATGTTGGTGCTGTGCATGGCTCTGTGCCCAACTCTCTTCCTCTCCATTGGCCTCTATCTGTGCTGGGACCACTGTGCTCTGCCTTCATTCAGTGAGCCTAAGGGTGAATCTCAGTGTCTGGTAGGACAAGTCACCCACAACCATGTTCTTCTGAATTTGCTTGGCTATCCTTAGCCCTTTGCTCGTCCATATATTTTTTTATGTTTTTTTTTTTTTTTAATTATTATTGATTTTAGAGAGAGGAAAGGAGAGAGAGAGCGAGACAGAGAAACATCAATTGAGAGAGAAACGTTGATTAGTTGACTCCTGACTGGGGATCAAACCTGCAACCTGGGTATGTACCCAGACCGGGAATTGAACCCGCCACCTTTTGGTGTACAGGACAGTGCTCCAACTAACTAAGCCACACCAGCCAGGGTTCGTCCATATGCTTTTTAGGATCAGCTTTTTGAATTGATAGAGCCTGCTGGAATTGTTATAGTAATTGCACCAAACTTAAAGGTAATTTAGGAGAGAATTGATAAATCTTTCCAATATTGAGTCTTCCTATCCATAAATACATGTGATCTCTGTTTATCTCTTTCTTTAGTGCCTTTCAGTAGAGTTTTATACTTCACTTCATAATGGTTTTGTACATCTTTTTTCAAATTTATCCCTATGTGCCTCATTTATGGTTATTAAAATATCTTTCATGTTACATTTTCAATTGTTAGTGCACAGGAACACCGGTAATTTTTGTGTATTGATTTTGTACTCAGCATCTCTGCTGAACTCTAAATTTAATATTTTCTGTATAGTCATCGTATTTTCTGTGTACACACTTCCAATATCAGTGAATGGGGATAGTTTTGTTTCTTCTTTTCAAATTGTTATACTTCGTTGTTTGTCTTGTCCCACCATGCTGGCCAGGACTCCAGGGCAGTGTTGAATAAAAGTGGTTAAGATATGATTTGAGTTAATGATGCTCAGTGTTGGATGAGGTACCTTTAACCAGAGGGCTGGGAGCTGGGAACCCTCATAAGAGAGCATCTTCCTTTTGAATAGTATTTCTCAAGTGGGCCTGGGCGTGTGCTGACATGCCAAGGTTGGTGTCAGAATCAACAGGAATCTTTTTCAGACAGACATCTCCCTGAAAGTTTGTGAGCTATCCTTTCCCCGTGGAGAAGCACTCCCATAGTGAGATGCCATGAATAATGGAAGGCATTGCAGTAAATAATTTGTATGGTGCTTGCATACAAGGGTCATGAACAGGTACCATTTGATTCTCTTTCATACATGGTCACTGGAGTGTTTAAAAGGTGATCATTCCTGACTCGTATTTTTTTAATCCTCCTTTCTCCTCTGCCAGAAACTCATTTTAACCAGCAGTGCAAGTGTCATATTTGAGGGCGTTGACATCAAGAATGGAACTGAGGACCTCCCTTATGCCATGAAACCCATTGACTACTACACAGAGACAAAGATCTTACAGGAGAGAGTAAGTACCTGAGAACTGGTGGAGTGAGTGACAGGTGAGTTCCATGAGCATCCAAAGGGCTTGGATTCTTAAGAAAAATATTTGTGAACATATGAAGTTAGTATTCTGAGGCCTAAGTACCTAGCTTGGGAAGTAAAATTTGTTGCTGAAATTTAGTTTCAAAAGTCATAACAACATAGCTTAATGTGGCCAGACACTGCTCTGAGTCTTTTACAGCAACTGCCTCATTTAAACTTCACAATGACCCCCTAAGGTGGGTGCTATTATTGTCACCAGATTACAGAGGAGAACAGTTGATGCCTGGAGAGTCAGAGCCTTCCTGAGGCCATGCAGCTAGTAGGTAGAACCAAGGCAGTTTAGTTCCAAAGCCTGCATTCGAACTCATACTGTGCAGTTGCTATAGAAACCAGAAATGAGGCAAGTGTGCAGGCAGAACTTGGGCTTAACACACCAGGCGTGTGTTTTCATTTGAAACACCTTTCTAGTGGCACTCTTGTTCCCCTCTCTTTTTAAAAATGAAACAATGGAAGGATCTTGCTTTATTTTAAGGAAAAGTGCTTTTCTACTTGGCAACCTGGCTTATCCTAGGAGCACCTGGTTTAAGCAGTAATCTGAGTTGAGTAGCAGGCACCAAGCCTTCAGACTCCCGGGCTTCAGGGACCCTAACAGCTAGCCCCAGGATTAATGTCCATGGAGGACACTACCCTGAGGACAGCCTCAGCTGAAGGCCATGAATGCTCAACAGCCACAAACAGCTTGCCTTAGCTGGGTAGCTGTGAGTTTACCTCTCCCAGATGTTTATAGCACATCACAGCCACTAAACCAGAATTTAATGCCAAATAGGCATGAGCACCCATGCAGTGCTTGAGAGCCTACTGCCTGTTTGCTATTATTCCAGCTCAGAAAATCCCAGAACTCATCTTCAGAGAGACATGAGATCCCTCCCCAGTCCAGGGAGTAGAGGCCTAGCCTTTTGCAAGCTGGAGTCCTATCTCTGCCACCCTGCTCCTCGGAGCACAGAGAGCCTCACAGAGCTCCCACCTCCTTGGACTTGACCCAAAGAGCACTGAAGCTTCCACTGGGCCCTGTGCACTCATCCGAAGCACCTGGGACTCCGACCCTTTGTGTTCAAGAGCTGCAAGTGGCAGCTATGGCTCAGACCATCAGTGTGTCACTTGCATTGACTTTCAGTGCTCAACTGGAGAAAAGCAAAGCCTGGAAGCGCCTCCAGCAGTAACCCCTCTAGAGCCTCCTGTCAGCCACTATTGGCATACAGTGACTCACTGTTGGCTTTCAGACCACCCAACAGAAAAAATGGAATGTGGTATTCATCTAGAACCCCTTCACCTCTCTCCATTTTATTAACAGAAATGAGCCTTGGTAGAGGACATTGGAAGGCTTATTTAGTCATTTCCCCCATTGCCATGGGGACCAGAGCCTGGCGGGAAGACGGGAGACAGCTCTAGAAATCTGTTGCGAGACCAATTCTTCACTGTTGGGTAGCTACAATGGTTATAAACTCCATCAACAAGTAACTTAAACTCTCTGGGACCCACATATGTGTAAAAATCTTGCCACCATAGAGTAGAAATGCTAGGTATGTTGACAATGATACTTATCAAGCATACCCTTACCGAAACCGTTGGCATGGGCCATCTCATTTAGTCAGCACACAGCCCTATCAGTAGGCACTGTCATGGTCTCCCTTTTTTTTATCAGTAACAACAAATCATTCAGGAAGTTTTGTTACTTTGGAGGCAAAACCTGTTTCCCTGTACTTTAAGTTCTAGTTTGTCCATTGAGCTACACGGAACACAGCTTTTCTCTCTTCCTGGCGGTGGATAACAAGAACAGCAGCTGCTACTTCTTGAGTGCTTGCTAGGTACTAGGCACTGCTCTGAGGACTTTACCTGTATTGGATGCCCTATTTATCCCAGATTCTTCACCTTCTCAGTCCCTTCTTCATGGCCCACTTGGGTTCATCAGAGTCCCTTCCTGGGAGATAGTGCTCAGAACTGACCAGAGCAGCCCAAGACTGGTGGAAATGTGCAGTTGGCAAGAGCCCCTATGGTAGCAGCAGCCATGTGGGAGGCTCACAGCTAGCTGGCTCACCAGAACCCGCGGATCTTTTCCATAAACTGCTGCTACGGCTCGTCTTCCGCTGCTGCATTTGTGCATTTTAGTCTTGAACCCAAACCCAGGCCTTCCTATTTGATCTTACTGGTTTTGACCTAGTTGTCTCTCCTGAATTTTCCAATGTGGGTGGTCGGGGTAGGTGGGGTAGAGAAGTAGCCAGAACTATACAGGTCACTGATGCAGACCTTCAGCCCAGGGCAGTGGGTGGCATCTATGCCCCCTGTGGGAGGTGCTGCTTAGTAGGTACGGCACATCCACCATGGACATGCTCCTGCTCTCCTACAGGAAGTCCTGGGCGCCAATGATCCTGAGAGGAATTTCCTAACCGCAGCCATCCGCCCCCATGGCATTTTCGGCCCAAGAGATCCCCAGCTGGTCCCCATCCTCATCGAGGCAGCCAGGAAAGGCAAGATGAAGTTCATGATTGGGTAAGTCGGCCCATGGTTACTCTTCTCCAAGAGCTCTTGAACCCACTGTTACAAGGATCAGTCACATTCAGCTCTCTTCTTATGTGGCCTTCTCCACTGCCCTCTGTTCATTTCCTGAGATTGCCACAGCAAACGGCCCATACTGGGTGGCTTCAAACAACAGAAATGAATTCTCTCCCAGTTCTGGAGGCCAGAAGTCTGAAATCCAGCTGAGGGCAGGATTGGTTCCTTCAGAAGATTCTGAGGGAGAATCTTTTCTAGGCCTGTCTGCTAGCTTGTGGTGGTGGCAGACAGTCCTTGGAATTTCTTAGCTAATATATGCGTCACTGCAGTCTCTGCCTCGTCTTTACATGATCTTCTTCTCTGTGTCTGTGTCTAAATTCCCCTTGTTCTATAAGGACAGCAGCCATTGGATTTAGGGCTCATTCTACTCCAATATGACCTCATCTAACCTTGATTATATCTACAAAGACCCTATTTCCAAATAAGGGCGCATCCGCAAGTTCCAAGGAGACATGAATTTGAGGAGGGCACTATTCAACCTGGTACACCCTCTCAGGCAGGCTGGGAAAATATTTGTGTCCCTGTATGGAAATTGAGGGAACAGGCTGACGGGAAAGACTGATCCAGGATCAAGGGCCAGGCCCTCGACTCTCGTTGCATCTATGAAGATAGGTGGAGGCGTTAACATTCCTTCCTGAGGAAGGTGCAGGTAGAGGGGTCTCTGCAGGTGGTGACAGTGTGGCTGGCTGTCTCCTCAATACATTTACTCTTCCTTCCTTTTTTCCCTTTTCTCCCTCTCTTTTCCACTTTTTCTTGCTACCTTGCCTCCCTGCCTCTAACTTGGCCTCCCTGCTGCCCTGTCCTTTTCTTTAAGGGATTGCACAGAGATGATAGAAAAACAAATGAGGCCAGAGCAAAGCATTAGCCCAGAGTTTCCTGGAAGGATTTAAGAGCTGCTGCCCAAATTGGAGCTCAGAGCAGACAACCCTAATGTTGGCCATGCCAGGATGGGGCAAGCCGGGCACCAGGCTTTCGGATTCATTCCTGGGCCCTTAAATATCCCACTGCCCCTGAGCACCACAGGAGCCTAGCTCTCTGTACATCTTTAATTGGTCCTGGTGTTGCCAAGGCAGGTGGCAGCCACTGTGCAGGTAGCAATCTTTTAAACGCTGGGACTCAGGAGCAGCCGTGGGTCCATGTGCAGCAGTCTCCGCATGTAGCTGAGTGCTCCTAGCCCAGTGGAACCTTGTCTCTCTGCCCACAGAAACGGGGAGAACTTGGTGGACTTCACCTTTGTGGAGAACGTGGTCCATGGACATATTCTGGCTGCAGAGCACCTTTCCCAAGACACAGCCTTGGGTGGCAAGGTAAGACACCTGCTTCTCCCTGCTCAGCAGTGGATGGCCCACCATATCCTCCCCCTGCACATTTGCCGATTTTCAGATTTATTCCCTCTGATTCTGCATCTTGGTAGACCCGCTTTAGGATCCCATTGAGTCAAGGTTGAGCCCCAGTGGTCAGGAGTATGGTGTCATGTCAGTACCACATTGCACAGGGCAGCCGAAATCCAGAGGAGTGACCTGGGACTGAACGGAGACTCAGGACCTGGTTCTCTGTGAATATAACCTGGCTGCCTGCCATGGACATGCCTGATCTGGGCAGGGTCCTGAGAACATTGGGCAGAGTGTTTGCTATTCACCCTTTCTCTCACTGATTTTAGATGTCTCCATTTTCCCCCCATCACCCTGCCATGCTCATGCCTCTCACCCCTCCTGAGGGGCAGATATATCTGAATCTCCTGGTGTTTGGCACCCAGTGGGAAGGGTGGACATGTGGGGTAGGTGGACACTCACCCAGAAATGGAAGAGCACATGAGGGCCCCTCGCCCTTTTCTCTCAACCTGGGGGCCTCGTTTTTTTCTCCTAGACTTCTGCCATTTTTCCAGGCATGTAACTCTTAGGCTAGGTGTGGCTTTTGGTTTAGACCAAACACAGCACATTTGAGAAACGTAGTATGACCTGTTCATTGCACCTGAAGATGCGATGAGTGTTACCATGCTTAACACAATTACTAAATTAAATTAACATCTGGCAACCAACAAAATGTTCTCTGTATCTATGAGAGTGTTTCTGTTCTGCTTGTTCATTTTGTTTGTAGATTCAATTATCGATAGATATGTATTCATTGCCATTTTGTTTTTTCATCTTTTTCTTCAAGAACACCCTTCAACATTTCATATAATAATGGCTTGGTGGTGATGAACTCCTTTAGCTTTTCCTTGTCTGGGAAACGCATTATATGGCCATCAATTCTAAATGACAGCTTTGCAGGATAGATTAATCTTGGTTGTAGGTTCTTGCTTTTCATCACTCTGAATATTTCTTGCCACTCCCTTCTGGCCTGCAAAGTTTCTTTTGAGAAATCAGCTGCCAACCTTATGGGAACTCCCTTGTAGGTAACTAACTGCTTTTCTCTTGCTGCTTTTAAGATTCTCTCTTTGTCTTGAACCTCTTGCATTTTGATGATGATGTGTCTTGGTGTGGGCCTCTTGGGGTTCATCTTCTTTGGAACTCTCTGTCCTTCCTGGACTTGGACTTGTATGTCTGTTTCCTTCACCAAGTTAGGGAAGTTTTTTGCCATTATTGTTTCAAATAGGTTTTCGATTTCTTGTTCTCTTTCTACTCCTTCTGGCACCCCCAAGCTGTGAATGTTGGCACGCTTGAAGTTATCCCAGAGGCTTTTTACACTATCCTCATTTTTTTGGATTCTTTTTCTTTGCTGTTCTGATGGGTGTTTTTTGCTTTCTTATATTCCAAATCGATGGTTTGCTTCTTGGCTTTACCTACTCTACCATGGAATCTGTGTAAATTATTCTTTATTTTAGTTAGTGCCTCCTTCAATTCTGATTGTGCATCCTTCATTTCTGACTGGTCCTTTTTTATGCTCTTGAGGCCCTCACTAAGTTCACTGAGGTTCTCACTAAGTTCATTGAGCATCCTTATAAGCAGTGTTTTGAACTCAGCATCTGTTAGGTTGCTTATCTCCATTTCGCTTAGTTCTTTTCCTGGAGTTTTGTTCTGTTCTTTCATTTGGGACCTGTTTCTTTGTCTCCTCATTTTGGCTGCCTCCCTGTGTTTGTTTCTATGTATTACTTTAACGAGAGGTATGGGGTTAGCTGAGACCAGATGTTGTTTGAGAGAATTTAGGAAAACCTGAAGCAGGATCCAAGACAGGCCAATCCTATGGTAAAACAACTGGCAACAGCTTGGGTGGGCCTGAAAGTTTGGTGGGGCGTGGCCTCAGGGAATCAGCAGGGTGGGGCTGCCAGTGTGAGCCAGGTTGCTGGAGTCCAGATGTGGTGGCTGTCTGCCGCCCCAGGGAAGGGCTCACCAAAGGAACAAAGGCCTCCGACAGCACATCTGTCCTGGAGAAAGCCCCCTCTCCAGCCCTCGTTCCAATGCCAAACAGCTCAGTTCTTCCCTGTATGTCTTTGGCGCCCCTCAACCTGCTTCTCCTCTGAGTTTAGAGGGAGCAAGTCCGAGTAAGTCCGTGCGCGGGCCCTTTAAGAGAAGCTGCCTGGGGCTCCAGCTGCATCAGCCTTCCTGAGCCTCAGTTCCCGTTGGTTTTTCCAGCCAGAAGTTATGGGGACTTCTCTTCCTGGCACTAGAACCCTGAGCGGGGTGCCTGGTGCGGGACGGGGACCCCTCAGTCCTCAGGGAGGACCTTCCCAGCCCAGGTGTCCTCCTGATTTTTATCCACCACCAGCCTGTCCGCCTCTGCCCCTCCCACCAGTCTCGATGTGGCTGCTGCTTTAATCCCGTAGTTGTAGGACTTCCATTCAGCTTGATTTCAGGTGGCTTTGAATGATGGTTGTTCTGTAGTTTAGTTGTAACTTTGATGTGGTTGTGGGAGGACGTGATACCGCGTTTACCTACCCGCCATCTTGACCAGAAGTCCGGTCACTGGTTTCTTAAAACATTGGTCCTGGGTTGAGGTTTGAGCTCTAAGCTCTGAGGTGGCCTGCTCACCCCTCCGGCTGGGGAATGGCCTCTAACTTCTTGTTCTCTCTTCAGGCTTTCCACATCACCAATGATGAACCCATCCCTTTCTGGGCATTCCTGTCCCGCATCCTGACGGGTCTCAATTACGACGCCCCCAAGTACCACATCCCCTACTGGGTGGCCTACTACCTGGCCATGCTGCTGAACCTCCTGGTGATGGTGATCAGTCCTGTCATCCAGCTCCAGCCCACTTTCACACCGATGCGGGTTGCGTTGGCTGGCACATTCCACTACTACAGCTGCGAGAAAGCCAAAAAGGCCATGGGCTACCGGCCACTGGTCACCATGGACGATGCTGTGGAAAGAACTGTGCAGAGCTTTCACCACCTGAGGAAGGTCAAGTGAGGCCTGAGACTCGGCCCTCTTGCCACATTCCCCCGCCAATAACTCTCCCCTGTGGATCAATAAACTAACCTGTGAGTTTCTTCTGAGCGCAGATCCCTCCTGCCAGTTATATGGGAGCACACTCAGCCTTTCCAAGACCACAAGTGGGACAAAAACAGCAGACATTTCTCTCTCTGTAGGATCAGATCAGATTTGGACTTCTTTTAATAAGCAGCTTTGTATTCTACTATTTTGTATTCTCTTTCTTTCATCCCCCCCTCTCTCCTGGGTTCCTTATCATTCCACTGTCCTTGTACGTAATTAGGGAAGCTGTAGGGAAGAAATAACGTCTTTGCTAATTGAGGATGGAGAACTAGATTTATTTTCATGCAAACCAATACAAGACTAGAAGCCACAGACTGTTCAATGAGCCACATTTTACAAATACCCTAGGGGAAAAACGGAAGTTAGAAACATATGGTGGGACTACAAGTGTAGTGTGTATTTTTAAATAGAGTTTAGAGCAAACACTTCTAAAAAGCTTAAACAACTGTAACCCTCCCCCTCAATCCCTGATTGTTCCCCTCCCTACATGCTTCCAATTTCTCTCAGGCCCAGCTGCAATGCCGGCCTACATTGTTTTTTCATAAAGCATTCTGTCGTGGACATATTTCACTTTATCAACAGAGTCCCATTGTCCTTAGTGTCACAGTGGTTGTCTGCCCCTGTGGCATGCTATTTCAGCTGTTTACCTACTCTCCTGACTGATGTAGGACATCTGGCTGCTTGACAGTGAGGTATTGGAAAGGTCAGACAGAAGAGAGCCTCCTTTATCTGCTTGGAGTTTGGGCAGAAACTCCATTAGCAGATGCAGAAAGGGTGGCTCCCCTCATAGAACCCGTCACACAGAACCCTTCCGGCAGGTTTCCAGAAGGCCTAGCACATGTAATGACTCAGCAGTCTCTCTTTTCTGGTGATGTTCTGTTTATGGAACCTGGTTTCTTGACTAATTGACATGTAATCTTAAAGACCTGTTTTTTTCTCTGCCTTTGTCCAAAGTTGGGGAGGCTGGCCCGACCGGTGTGGCTCAGTGGCTGAGTGTTGACCCATGCACCAAGAGGTCGCCAGTTCAATTCCCAGTGGGGGCACATGCCCAGGTTGTGGGCCTGATCCCCAGAGAGGGGCATGCAGGAGGAGACCAGTCGATGTTCCCTCTTGTCGATGTTTCTATCTCTCCCTCTCCCTCTCTCTATAAAAATCAATAAAGAAAACAAAAAGAAAATTGGGGGAGGCTGGACTAGACATTGTACACACCATTTGGTTTGTGTAATATAAGTATGACCCCTCCTGAGAGGAGACGACTGCTAAGCTGATAGGGTGGGAGGCATATATACAGAAATGAAGCACAGTCTGCCCAAAAGCACTTAAAATAGAGGAGTTATGATATATTCACCATCCTCTGTAATACCAGGCAGGAAATGATACAGTTGAGAAGAGGTGGTGTAAGTTCAGAGGAAGTAGACATGGCTTCTAGCTAAGACCGTCAAAAAAACCTTCATGAAGGAGGTGACAGCATTGAGTTGTACGTTGAAGGATGGATAAAGAGTAGGTAGAGGCCCCTAGGTAGCATTTAAGGCTAAAAGGTCAGGTTCACAGCCAACGGCTTGTCATAGTTTCATTAGTAGTGTGTTGTCTTTCTCAGATTCTGTGAAGTATAGAAGCAACCAGCCTGGTTGGGGTGGGAGGCATGGAGCAGTGGGAGGTTAGTCGGGCTGAAGAGGTAAGTAGGGCCTCAGATGCCAAGCCAAGGGGGCTGACCTTTGTCCTGTAGGCAGGGAAAAACATTGACAGTTTAACAATGGAAGGCAAAAAGCAAGAAGCGCATTTCAGCCCCCTGCATGGAGCCTGAGAGACCAGATAGGAAGTGACAAAAGTGAGCACTAATGCAGCCCTGGAAATAGAAATGAAGCCTTAGTAGAAACATCTAGAAAAGAGGCAGAGGTTGCTGCCTGATTTCCTCAGAGGCATGAGAGGGAGGGAGGAGGCCAGAGCATAGAACGGGAGGATTCCGCTTACAGAGCTGCTGGGAGGAGGGTCTCTGCTTAGAAGACTGGCTGGCAGACCTCCCCGAGGAGCATCAAGGGCCGAAGTGCCCTCAGCTTTGTCCTCTCAGCTTCCCTGAGAAAATGCTAGCCGCTGCCTTGACGAAAGGTGTCCCCCGTCAAACTCGGTGTAAAGTCCACGGCTAACATTCTAGTGGAGCCATGCAAATCAATATATAACTGGCAACTTGAAAGTTTCGAAAAGGGAAAGTGTGGGAGCCACACTGGGCTGAAAGTGAACCTGGCCCAGTTGGAAATAGGGCAGAACAGTCATCGAAGGCTTCCCGAGGAAGCAGCATCTGTGCAGATCAGAAAGGTGAGACTGAAATCATTAAGTGGCTGGGGAACCCTCCAGACAGACCTTGAGCCCCAAGTGAGCAGCGGGCTGCCCTCCTGCCCTGGTGAGGGCTTTTGTCACCCTCCCTTGCTCTGCCTTGCAGTCCTGACCCAGACCTAAGGAACCCCACCTCCCACCCCCCCCCCCCCACCGCCAACCTGTTTGGAGAAAGTCTGACTGCCAGGAAACCATACCACCCCCTCCCCTGAGAGTTTGTTAGAAATTCTGGGGCCCCACCCATAACTACTGAACTGAAACTGGGAGGGGGGTGCACATTGTGTTCCCAAGCCCTGCCAATGAGTCTGAACTACTGAAGTGGCCTCCCACCATGTCACTGAGTCTAGTTAGAACCTCACCTCAGCCACTTGCAAGACTGAACTTGCCCCCTCACAGGACTAAGTCCCTGGGCCACCTAACCGGTTCCCTTCCTGAAGACAGATAGCCATGCAGCACACCTCCCTGAAGTGACTTCCTAGAGAACCTACCAAGGCCTGTGCCCCTCCCGTGGCACATCCACCTGTAGACTCAGGGCAGAGGGAAAGTGGACAGCTGAAAGTCCATGCCCAGTTTCAGCCATCTTCCCTCCCCGTTGACATTGATGTAGTTCACTCAGCACCTGGCTCTGTCTGCACCTGGGTCAGGTGTACTGGGGCAGCTGAGCTGATCTGTCTGTCTCCGATGCATCCTCTATGCACATCCAGGGAGTCCTAAAACAGACCTAGATCCTTCCTCTCCTCTACTGAAAACACATAAGTGGGTCCTGATTTTCTCCTGAACACATTCCATGGCCAGTCCATCATAGCCTGTGCTCAGCCCACCTTTCCAGCTTCTATTGGGCTTCATATCTGCTGTGCTCCAGCCAAACTGCCCATGCCGTCATACAGCCCCTCGCTCAGGCTTTTCTGGCTTCCTGCAATGTGCTCTCCCCATTTGTTCCCAGGTCTAGAATGGCAGCTCCCTTTCCTCTCAAAAAACCCTACCCGGATCCTCCCAATTGGAAACCTTGACTGTTCTCTGGGCTCCCAGCCTGGGGATCTCAATCTTTGCCTCATTAAATGTATTCCCTCTGTGTGCTTTCTCCCACCCCGACTAGGCCAGGAGCTCTTTGAGGGCAAAGCCAACCAGTGTCCTCACAGCAAAGAATGGGTACACAGGAAACATATGCAACCACCTGCCTGGCCCGGAATCCTAGAGTAACAGCAGCAAGGAAAGGAAACAACCCAAGGACTGGGGAAAGGAACGGCCAGTGAGACTGGTTGAAGCAGAAGTTCTGGGCCTGGCATTCATGTGTAGTTCAGGAGGTCTGTGAACCACATAAATTTGGACGCAGCCCTTGGGTCACCTGTAAGTGTGTATCTTTTGGCAGGAAAGGGCACATAGCTGTCATCTGCTTTTCAAACATGACTGTGACCCAATCAAAATTTAAGCCAGTAGCCCTGGCCAGTTTGGCTCAGCGGTTAGAGCGTCGCCCTGCGGTCCGGAGAGACCCGGGTTCGGTTCCCGCTAAGGGCACGTACTTCGGTTGCAGTTTGTCCCCGGCCCTGGTTGGTCGTGCGGGTGGCAGCCACTCGATGTGTCCCTTCACGTCGATGTTTCTCTCTCTCTCTCCCTTCCTCTCTCTCCCTCTCTATCTGTACAAAAAAGTGGAAAAATATCCTCGGGTGAGGATAACAAAAAAAAAAAATTAAGCCAGTAGAGTGCTAGCCAGCAGCTGTGGAGAAGCCCACTTTAGAGAGAGGGTCCGGGAGAGACAAACTGAGGGGCAGAGGCCAGAATGGGGCCCTCAGGCCTTATCAGAATTCCCATCTGCATGTGTTTCTGGACCGAGGGGTGCTTGAGGCCAGCTGTTCAGTCTTTGGAGTCTGTGACTCTAAAACAGGCAAGGCCACCCAACCGGAACCAACGTGGAGGGTGGCTCGGCAGACAGGACAGGAATGGTTGAAGCCTCTGGCCACAGCCCTCCAAGCTCTGGTGTGCATTTCTATCCACTGACAAGTGGCTCTCAGCTTGCTCTCTCCTTACCGTGTAATAGCCCTTGCTGGTAGAAAGTTCTCCCTTCTGCTGAACTGAAACGCCTTTTGATGTGGCTTCCCTTGCCTTCCCTTTCTCTATCCAATCCCAGCAAGCTAGCTTATAAGCTTCTCCTGTGGTCCTGCTAGGCCTATAGCCTCTTCTTCATTCTAAACCTTATCTCCAATAGCATTTCCTCCTCCCCTCTTTCTCTCAAAAAAAGTCCCTCTCTTCTGGCTTCCTACAAAGCCTGGTCACCATCAAAGTACTTCCACAGTTACAGGTAAATCATTGGTTTGGCTGCCCAGATCTCCTACAAGGCACTACACTTCTCAAGGGCCAGGGCTTTTTTTATTTATTTCTCTGTCCCTGAAGTAATGTGCAATGCCTGCTCCTGGGCAGGTGCCTAATAAGTGTAACCAGACTGGAAGGGCATTTAGAGGGGAAAGTCACCAACACCCACAATGACCAGCTGGGGGAGCCCCCAGAGAGAAGAAGCCACAGCCAAGGGCACTCAGACAGTTAGCAGAGCCAGGGCTAGACCATGGGCCCCTGATTCTGGAGGCCAGGGCACCCTATGTTACCTATATGATTCAGGCAGGTAATGCAGCAAAGGTGCCCACATGGAGAGGAAGGGGCATGG